CACACATCTTAAGAGTACAGGTGGATGAATTTTCACCAAGTGAGCACACTTGTGCAACCATCTCCAGGTCACGAAACAAAACACTCCCAAATAGGGAGTTAGTGTTTAATGGAGCAGTTTCAGTTTTACAAGCTGAAAAGAATCCAGGAGATGGATGGCAGCGATGCTGTACGACATTATGAATGTATTTAATACCACTGAGCTGCACACTTACCAAGTTAAGATGGTACATTTTATGCCATGTATATTTTATTGTGATAAAAAAACATTTTCAAATTAAAAAATAATGTAAAAAGCACTCCCAACTCTTTGGAATTTTCCATGTCTTCCCGAGGACAAACACTCTCCTAATGAGTTTTGTGCTTTATATAAATTGTATCAAATAGGATTGTTGTTATGGTTTGGGCCTGGAATGTCCCCCCAGAGGCTCAGTGTTGAAGGCTTAGTCCCCAGTGCAGCTATGTTCAGAGGTGGGGCTCTCGGGAAGTGACTGGATCATGAGGGCCTGACCTTACCAGTGAATGAATCCATTAATGGATTCATAATTGAATAGACGATTGGAAGGTAGTGGAAAATGTAGGAAGTGGACTTAGTTGAAGGGAGTGGGTAGTGGGTATTAGGCGCATGCCCCTGGGGACCATAGTTTGTCCCAAAACCTTTCTTCTCTGCTTTTCTCCCTTTTCTCTCATGATGCTCTGCCTTGCCAAAGGCCCCCAAAATAGTGAAGACTACTGACGGAACCCCTGAGCCCCCCACCAGAAAAAAAGCTTTTCTCCTTTAAGTTGTTTTTCTCAATTTGGGGGGGTATGGAGATTGAACCCAGGAGTGCTTAACCACCGAGCCACATCCCCAGCCCTTTGTATATTTTACTTTGAGACAATTTTATTTTGAGACGGGGTCTTACCGAGTTTCTTAGGGCCTCACTCACTAAGTTGCCGACACTGGCTTTGGACTTGCAATCCTCTTGCCTCAGCCTCCGGAGTCTGAGCTGCTGGGATTAAAGGCATGTGCCACCACACCCAGCTCAAGTATTTTGTCATAGCGATGAAAAGCAGCCAACACAATTGCGATAGGCAGAACCATGATCCCCAAAGAGGTCTACATCCTCATCCCCAGAATCTCTGAATGTGTTACCTTGCAAAGGAACTTTGCAGATGTGATTAAATTAAGGACTTTGAGCTAGGTCCTTGAGTTTTTCAGGACCTATATCATTACAAAAGTCTTTCAATATCATTACGAAGGTCTTTATAAGAGGGTGGCAAAAGAGATCCAAGCAATGCAACATGAAAAGGATTCCACCTGTTTGTTGCTGTCTTTAAAGATGGTGGAAGGGCAATGGTCAAAGAAGGTTGGTGACTTCTAGAAGCTAGAAAAGGCAAAGAAACAGATTCCCCCTTGGAGCTTAAAGGGACACAGCTCTGCCCACACTTTGACCTGAGCCAGTGGGATCCATGTCAGCCTTCAATTCTATGAAAACATAAGAAAATATGTGTTTCAGGCCACCATTGTTGAGGCAGCTTCTTACAGAGCAACAGGAAATGAATGCAGGTAGGTATTTTTTCCTGGCATCTTTGCCCAACATGTGAGTTGTACCATATAATATTCCATTTCATTCCATGAATATACCACATTTTACTCATCAATTGCCGATATGGTTATTTCCAGTGTGCACTAATATGCATAATGCTGCTAGGAACATTCTTATACATTTCTTCTACATGCTAACATAAGAGCTTATTTCTGTTGCACATATATAGGAATAGAATTGCTGCATTATAGAACTTGCATATACAGTGGACACGGTGATGCATTCTGCATCACAGCTTCGGGACCTATTCCCCAGCTGCTGGAAGGGCTGCTAGCTGACCACTCTGAGATGCCAATCCTCTCTGTGTATGTGCCCCAGTTGAAAAGGACTCCTTTGGTCAGGGGCACATATACTTCCCAGAGTTACCCTGCATCCACTTGATGACTGGTTGATACATGCAGTAGGGGGATGTGAAGGCTCCTTTTCCATTGCCACTTGTAATATTTTTAAAGGGTCACCCCAGATTCAGAGTTCTTCAGGGATCAGGGGAGGCTTCTGTTGAGGCTACATCCCAACCCAGCTTTTCCCTCTGCCCAACCCTGCTTCCTCCCGTTCCCCGGAGAGCACTCCTGCATGTTCATCTCCATCTCAGATCAGTTTCTGGGGCATCCAACCTGCAATATCTTCTTTCCACTTTCATGGATATTATCAAAAATGTTGGGGCTGGGGATGTGGCTCAAGCGGTAGCGCACTCGCCTGGCATGCATGCGGCCCGGGTTCAATCCTCAGCACCACATACAAACAAAGATGTTGTGTCCGCCAAATACTAAAAAATAAATATTAAAAAAATTCTCCCTCTTTTCTCACTCTTCTCTCTCCCTCTCTCTTAAAAAAAAAAAAATGTTCTAAGGTGGTCATTCCGGGATACCACCAGCAGCCTGAGAGTTTCAGTTGCTCAGTATTCTTGTCAGCCCTAGTATTTTATTTAAAATACACACACGCACACACACATATGATATTTTGCCACTGTGGGTGGGTAGTGTGAGTTACTCAGCTTTCTGTCACTAAATACCCGAGATAAGCAACTGTTACGGTTTGGAAGTGTCCCCAAAGGCCCATGTGCTAAAGGTGGGTCACCATCCTGTGGTGCTATTGGGAGAGGTAGGGCTTGGTGGAAGGAAGTTCATTGGAGGTGTGCCCGTCCAGTGAAGGGGCTGTTAGGCCTTAGGCCTTCCTGTCTCTCTGCATCCTGACAGCCATGAGGGCAGCAGTTTTCTCTGCTGTGTACTTCCCCCATGATCTACTGCCTCACCATAGGCTCAAAGGAAACCATGAACTGAAACTAGGAGCCAAAAGAAAACTTTTCTCCTTATAAGCTTATTTATCTCAGGTTATTTTGTCATAATGCTGGAAAGCTGACTTATACCCAGTGATCTGAGAGGCTGAGGCAGGAGGATCACAAGTTCAAGGCCAGCCTGGGCAACTTAGTGAGACCTTGTCTCAAAATAAAAAAGGGCCAGGGATAAAACACAGTGGTAAAACATCCCAGTGTTCACATACTGAAAACAAGATAGAAATACCATAAAATAAAACAAAAACGGGCTAAGCATGGTGGCGAACTCCTGTAAATCCAGCAGCTCAGGGAGCCGAGGTAGGAGGATCACAAGTTCAAAGCCAGCCTTAGCAACTTAATGAGTAACTTAGGAAACTCTATCTCAAAATAAAAAGTAAAATGGGCTGGTATATATCTCAGTGGTTAAGTGCCCCTGGGTCAATACCTGGTCCAACAAAATTAAATAAAATAAATAAAACAAACAAACAAAAAAAGAAATAAAGAAAACTGATGAACACATCAACTTATAAAGGTTTTATTTTGGCCCAGTTTTGGAGGTTTCCGCCAATGAGCAGATGTCTTTCACGGTTTTCTCCTAAGGATTTGAAATGTTCATCTATTTTGGACACAAATCCTTTGCTGGATATTTTGCAACATAAATTCTGAGTTGGAGAAACTCAGTGCCTCAACAATGTCAGCCCATGCTGGGCCCCAATAAAAATGGATTACATGGATGTTTGAGTCTGAAAATTCCTTTAAAGTAAAGAATGCTTGGATAGGTGAAACAATGAGACTTTAGTGATCGTAATCGGATACAGGTATGGGTCCGCAGGAAGGGAGATAGAAACTAAAAGAGAAAAGCACAGAATGCAAGTAACACATCCTCAAAATTTGTCACTCCCAGCCTTCAGTTTTTGGCTTTGGTCTTTTAAGCACTCACGTTTTTAAAGGTAATTGTAAATTAACACTATTCAAAGAATGTCCATGGAAGATATTAATGGGCCCGCCGGTTCTACGCGCTGAGGACCCGCAGTAAACAAGATCCTTGTTTCCAGGAGATCTAGAAGAAGAGACAACAACAGGTAAACAAAATAATTCCAGAGAGCAGTGAACTGAAGAAGTCGGACGTGGAGGGAAGGAGGAAGGGGGTTGATCCAGTAACTCCCAGGCCAGGACACAAGGAAGGTCCCACCCTTGGCCCCGCCTCTAGCTTTGCATACGCCTCCTGATTGGCCAACGGCGGCAGGCACCGCCCCACGGAGCTGGCAGCTCGGGAAGCTGCAGGGCCAAGATGCAGCCGCGGCTCCGGGTGTCGCCGGGCGGGCCGGGGACAGCTCCGGCCAGAGCCGAACACGGGGTGCCCGCTGCGACACCCGCACGCTCCTAGCGCCCCAGACCTGACGGCGGCCCCGGGCCCTCCCTGCCGCCATCCCCGCGGTCGTCTCCACCCCTCCACCCTTTGTGCCGCCGCAGCCCGGCGCCCCCGGGCTCCGCGGGACCCCGGCCGGGCGGGACCGCGGCGGTGCTCCAGGCCCCGCGTGGGCTCCCGGCTCGCAGCCGATGGCCAGGGGGCGCGGCGCGGGCGGGGGCGCTGCAGCCCGAGTCCACGACGCGGGAGGCTCGTCCCGCCTCCGCTGCATTGTCCCGGACCCCGCGCCCCGGCCCTGAGCCGCGCCACCGCAGCGCCCGCCCACCGCCGCCGGCGGGGCCATGCGGAGAGCCACCAGGATGGAGGACTTCGCAGAGGAAGAGGAGCCCTGGTACGACCAGCAGGACCTGGAGCAGGGTGAGCGCGGCAGGAAGGGAAGTGGGGAAGCGGGGGTCCGTTACTCCATTGTCGGGCGGCATCACCCCAAGAAGGGCTGGGCTGGACCTAGTGAGCCCGACTCTGAGCAGTGATGCGTCTGGAGAATGGGGACGGGGAAAGAGGGGCGCTGCCCGAGAGACCCAGACTGATCGCCTGATAGAGCTGCAAAAGGGGATGGAGGCGGTCTTCCTATTTCTCCAACCGACTGAGCATCCATCATCCAGCTCGCCCGCCTCATCTTGCGGGCAGCAACTGCCCAGATGCCCCTGGTGTTGTTAGAGGCCTGGGTACTGGCTGAAGGTCTTTGGAAGGTGGGAGGGAGCTAATGGTATGTTTTGCTCAGAGGGTGCTGTATGTAGAGGGAAGTCATCTCGTTCCAAATCTAGCAGCACCTGTCCCTCCAGGATATCTAAACTCTGAGACTCCCAGAAAGTTTCCCCAACTCGCTTCCCTTTTACCCAGGGAAGGGATGGTGCAGGGACCATGCTGCTGGAGAAGGGGAAAGTGGAGTCTTCTATCTGCCTTCATGAGGAAGGAGTCTCCCAAGGCTTCCTTTCCCTGGGGCCCCTCCCAATGGCTCAGGGTTTGGAGGGAACCCGTTTAGGTAATTCCCAGTGCCAAGTTAGAGCCTGAATAAGGAGAGCCACATCCACCAGCCTCTCATCTGAGGAAGAGGGGGCCACAGGAAGGGGGTTAGGAGCTGGTGATGAGGTGGCCAAAGTGACATCACTGCAAGGAGGGAGGAGCAGGGCTGTTGGGACAGGAAGGAGGAGGCCTGAGAGGGTCAGGGCCAAGGCTTGCTGGAGTGGAGTCAAATCCACACTGTCCTCCCCCAAGGTGCCTCATTCTTGGGTGATGAGATCTGGAGGGGGCCAGGAAGTATGTCCAGGGAGAAATGACCTTCCCATGGTCACAGGCATGCCTAAAGGATATGGACACAAGCAGTGCAATGTGTGCCATCACACCCTGGTCTCCATCCCCAGGGCACTTGCGCTCCTGCTTTGCCTGGAAGGGAAACATCCACCCAAGTCCTAGAAGCTTTGTGTCCGGGGCCTGACCCACTTCCTACGCTGCCAAGATTCACAGGCAGGGGCTGGGGATGTGGCTCAGGCGGTGGCGCGCTTGCCTGGCATGCGTGCGGCCCGGGTTCAATCCTCAGCACCACATACAAACAAAGATGTTGTGTCCGCTGAAAACTAAAAAATAAATATTAAAAATTCTCTCTCTCTCTCTCTCTCTCCTTCTCTCTCTCTCTAAAAAAAAAAAAAAAGATTCACAGGCAGATGAACTGTTGTCCTTATGCTTAGACTATGGGCTAATCAGGTTCTCAGCAGACCATGTGGGATGCAGGCTCTGGGCTATATACCCTGCCATGCTCAGTACCCTGGAGTCCAGCCTCGGCCTCCCAGTGAGATGGCCTACACTGACTGTGATGCCCTTCTTCCCCATCCTAGGCACAAACACCTATGGGTCTCACTTAAGTGCCAGACACCATCCTAGGAGCTGGCAACAATCACAGCCCTGACCCTCTCAGTATTCTTGGTGAGTGGAGGAGGCCTACTTGTAACTAAGAAAATAGGTAGTATAGCATTATGGGATGGCTTCCTGGAAGAAGCAGGCTTAGAAGGAAAGGTTGGAAACTGGAGTTCTGGGGAAGATGGCCTCTCTGGAAGGCAGATGCTGATACTAATGCAGTATCATTAAGTTCCTGCACCCTTAACCAAGGTTTGGCACCATGCCCGGCCCAGATGTGGGAGGAAGGAGCTAGGGAGTAGGGATGGGAGTTGTGCAGCTTCTGAGGAAGGGAGAGGTATTGAGATTCCAGCAGGGCTGAGCAGCTATGCTCTGGGGCTGGGTGGGGGATGGGCACTGCAGGCCCAGCTTCTCTCCCTTCTGGCTTGTGGCTAGGTCAGCACCCTCAGTGGGAGCTGGAGCCCAGGAATGAAAGGAACCAGCAATGAAATAGTCTCAGAAGAAACTGGAGCTTTTCACCCCAAACAAGCTGTCTGTTTGCCATGGGCCAGGTGCCATGTTGAACCTAGGGATATAGTCTCTGCCCTTAGGGGACCCTACACTCCAGCCGAGGAGACCAGTGGGATCAAATTAATGACCATCACAGTGCAAGGAGTTCTGTAACCCCTTGGCCCAGAGAGAGTGAGAGCAGAGACTCAAAAAGGTTTATGCCAAAGCTCCTTTGAGCCAGGAAGTGAAGGAAGGAAGGGGAAGGCATTCTAGGGAGAAGGGATGCTAGTACCAAGGCTTGGAGGCTTGTAAAAAGACAAGCAAGTGGGGTGGGGGACAGAGGAAGTCCTGGGTGCAGCTACTGGAGCGATAGCCCCCTTCCTGCCCCCTAAGGGCACACAGAGAGCTGAATGTGGAGCAGGGTGGCCAGCCAAAGAGCAGCCACATGGGGGTCAGGGGCCCTTTCCTCCTTCCCTACTCCCAGTTCCTGAACTCTCTTCTTCCGAGTTGCTCCCTGTTGGCCTGCAGTGGCCTGGGAATAGTTTTCTCATCAGCCACCTCTCCTTCCATGCCTGTTTCCCATGCCCCAGGGCAAGTCCTGACTTCACTCTCCAGCAGCGTGACCACAGAGATCCTGTTTGACTTTGATGCTCTCTGTCCCAGTGGAAGGAGGTGATTGGGACAGGCGAGGTCTTTAGATTCACTGTGTTCCCTCTGCCCTCTGCCTCAAGCACCTGTAAAAATAGAAAAAGCCATTAATTATTAAGCACAGGCTCTCTCTGCCCACCTCCCTCCCCCACCTTGGACCAGTATGGAAGGCCTTGTGGACATCTCTGTCCAGGCTGAGACATGGCTGCTGAGTCACAGATTTGAAGTCCCAGACAGGCAATGACCGTCTCCTCTCCTGCCCAGCCTGTCCTTGAGTCTTCGGCCTCTGGGGAGGGATCTGAGATGGCAAGGGGAGGGATGTCCCTCCTCTACCCTGTTTGCCCTAAAGGTGACCAGACTCCAATAGTGTGGACCCTGAGTTGCTGATATTTGTGCCCCGAGGGCTGTAGCAGGACCCCACAATCATGCTGGGTTATACCAGGTGTCCTCCACCCTGGGCCCACACCCTTTTCCTTCATCTCCTCTTCTCTGTGCCCGTTCCCTCTCCCTTTCCCACCTCTCTATCCTGGAGTCGGACATGCCCCATCCTTTTGACACAGCCAAAAGGAGCATAGAATTTCCAGGTTTCTTTTAAAAAAGATCTCCTGGGTCCCCCCGGCCATTCCCACTCAGGCCTCCAGGTATTGCCTCATAGAAAACCACTGAAGTCCTCAGAAAGAGACCCCAGAAAAAAAAACCAGATTCCGGTCGGGAGGTGTCAACCCGAACTCAGGACCTACCCCAGCTTGGTCCAGTGTGGCCCACTGATCTGGCTGTGATAGTCTGTTGGTCCCTGGGCTCCTAGATCCTGCTTAGCCAGCTCCCATAGTCTCCTGCTCTCAGGCCACCCTCCCCCAAGCCTGGAGCCAACAGTAGTCCTCAGCAAGTTGGTGTCCTTTCCCAGCACTTGGCTCCACTCAGTCCCCTGCTCTGCAGCTTCCAGACTCCTGTGATCCCTCCTGACAGCTTTGAGCACTTAGCTTGCACTGCGATCCGGTTTCCCTGAATCAGTCCGAGATTCTCCTCGCCCACTCCCAAAGCTTCCATTATGTTTCCTTTCCTCCCTATTCTTGAACTGCTAGGTGGCCCAGGTCACATTCCCTGCTTTTGCAGGGCCATCTGTTCTATCCCCAGTGTGGTGTATACTGCCCTGTACATACCACACGGGGAACAGTGCCCCAGCCCGCAGTGGTAGGAGCTCACCTGGAGGGAGGAGCATGGTGCTCACCTGCACATGGCCTTTCTTCTTCACCCCCCTTCTGATGCTGTGGATTCTGGTTCAGCTGCAGCAGCTCCATGCAGAGCTGGTATTAAGAGCAATGGCCTGTTCACAGAACGATAGATAGTTCCAAGGCGGGAGACATTTAGGAGGAAGGCCTTCTGTTCTATTGCATTTATACCCGAATTACTTGCTACCACGCAGGGGTGAGCTGAATGCTTGCCATCCCATTTCAGAAATTAACTGTCACCCCACCTTGGGGCGGTCTCGCTGGGATCCCACCTCCTACCAAGCACATGACTTAACACAAGGCAGTAGTTCTCCAATCACTACATCAAACTTCACGCCTTGTAAACACCTCCAGACTTTTGCTCAAGTTACAGTTTATCAATTACTACAGCACGTGTTCTTGTTCCCTTACCAGTTTATATTAGGTAACCACTCTTCTTGGCATCCTCAGAAGCAAGTTAATTGCTCAAGGCTAAATGTTCTTATCTATGATTTATATAATTTAGCTTAGTTTTCTTAGGGAAAGCTGCTTTTCTTTCTCTGGACTATGCCATTGCAGCCTGGCTTTAGGGCAGCAGCTGTTCTCTGCTTCCCAGAGGACATCTTCAGGTGGGGCCCTCTCCAGGTTTAGGCCCTGCCACGGGGGCTCCACTCTGGCTGTTTCAAAACCTCTCCTCTGGACTTGTTCCTGAAGGGCAGCTTGGTCTTTCATGCAGGCCAATGGCTGGTCGGGCCCCTCTGGCTTTCACCCAGATTGGTGGGAAGTGAGTCGCAGGCTCTGCTCTCAGCTTCCCAGCCCTAGTTTCTGCTCTCCAGGCTTATCCAAGAGGAGGCCACCAGGCCAGGCCTGTCCACTGCATACCACAGGGCTCAGTGGAAACCTGCCAGCAGGGAATAAAAGCCCCTCCACCCCCTAGGGACCCCAGAGCTATCACTGTGCCTAAGAAGGGAAGCATTAATGAGCTGAGTCCCCAAACCACACCATCTCGGCCCCAGTGGAGCTGCCTTACGCATTTTGCACCAGATCTATGCCATCAGCCTAGATTGAGGACTGTTTTCAGAAACATCATAATGTAAAAAAGACTAAAGCTTTCTGCTTTAGGCCGAATGAATCAAAAAGGCCTCCATTTTGTCCCAGCAATTCTGTTTCCAGGAAAGTGTCCTAAAGAAATAGGCAGTGATTTGCACAAAGATTTTATATGAAAAGTTAACACCCATTTCTTTTTTTCTTCTTCTTTTTTTTTTTTTTGGTAGCAGGGATTAAACCCTGGTACATTTAACCACTGAGCCACATGCCCAGACCTTTAATATTTTTTTTTTTGTTTTAAAACAGGGTCTCTCTAAGGCTGAACTTGTGATCCTCCTACCTCAGCCTCCCAAGCTTCTGGGAATACAGGCATGCGCCACCACAGCTGGCTCATTTCACTTTAAATAGAGAAAAAATTGAAGACATCCTAAAGGTCCAACAATAAGGACTATTTAGGGACAGCTGCTTAGGAGCATATATACAATAAAATATTCCATATCTTCTTTAAATGCTCGTGTTAGTCTATATTGACTTGGAAAGCTCCCCTGCCTTATGGTTAAATGAGAAAGGCAGGAACAGAAAAAATATGACTCTGTTCACATAAAACTGTATCTATACATATTTTAAGCACAGAGAACTGTTTGGGAGGATGGTGAGAGCACTTTTATCTGGTACATTCTCTTTTTTCTCCCACTCCATTCTTCTTCTCCTTCCTCCTCATGCACACAAAGTGTAATTTTAATTACTAGCAAATGACATTCTTCTTTCATAACCATCTTGGGTCATCCATTTGTTTGTAGTATTCCAAGGCATAAATCTAAGAGCATACAAATGAAGTATATTTCAAGTAATTTTTTTAATCACCTTTTTTTACCTTTCTGTACTGTTCTATTTATTTATTTTGCACCAAGCATGCCTTAAGAAAAACACTGGAAAAAAGAAAGAAAGAAAAACATTGGGGCTGGGGATGTGGCTCAAGTGGTAGCACGCTCGTCTGGCATGTGTGCGGCCCGAGTTCGATCCTCAGCACCACATACCAACAAAGATGTTGTGTCTGCCAATAACTAACTAACTAAATAAATAAATATGTTTAAAAAAAAAGAAAGAAAGAAAAACATTGAAACTATTTTAGAAAGAAAACAGTCATTTGAAACAACCTGAGCTTGCTTTAAGGACCTCTTTAACGATTTACTCTCTTCCATCAATCTTGGTCTCCTGATTAAGCTGCCTAAAAAAATTTTTTTAAACAGCTTTATTGCATAATACACCATACAATCCACTCATTGAAAGCATACAATTCAGTGACTTTTAGTCTGTTCAAAGATTTGTGCATCTATTACCGCAATCCATTTTAGAATAGTTTCATCCTTCTGTCTTTTTCTAGAAATGAAAATGATAAATATATTTAGTATATTTATTTGTGGGGGCAGGATGGTATACACTCCAAATATCTAGGATGGTATACACTCCATAAGAAAAATTTTTAGGGATTTCTGTAACTGCCACTTTCTTTTATTCACCTTATACACATCCCCGTAAAAAGAGGACAAACTTCTCCAGCCTCTCTGATAGCGCTCATTTACCTGGGCAAGAAGAGGGGAGGTTATTTCTACCAGCAAGGTTCAAGAACCAGGGCTGCTGGGGAAAGAGGATATTTTTGCTGCCCAGGGAAAAAGGAAAAGGTTTAAGAGAGGGGCATGTGCCACTAGCACATGGTAACCAATTAGGGTAAGGACACTTGAAATCAGCTCATGACCTTGAGCAAGTCACTCTTCCCTCTCCTACCTGTCATCCATAAAATGAAAAAGTTAGACCAAAGAATTCTGAATCTTACACCAGGTGTGGTGGTGCACACCTGTAATCCTAGTGGCTCAGGAGGCTGAGGCAGGAGGATTATGAGTTCAAAGCTAGCCTCAGCAACTTAGCAAGGCCATAAGCAACTCAATGAGACCCTGTCTCTAAGTAAAATGTAAAAAAGGGCTGAGGATGTTGGTCAGTGGTTAAGCACCCCTGGGTTCAATCCTCAGTACCAAAAGAAAAAAGAAATTCTGAATCTTCACCCAAATCCAGTAGCCTGTCCTCTCTGCATCTCAGGAAGTTCCTACTCACCCTTCAAAACCCAACTGACTTGCCTAGCATACATAAGGCCCTGGATTCAAACCCCAGTACCAAACAAAACAGAAAACCTGAAAGTGGCCCATTTGTCTGAGCCTCCTTCCATCCCCAGGAACAGTGAAGCTCTCTTACCTGTTGTCCCAGGGCACTTTGCCCCTATGTTTATCTATGCATTTGGTACAGGCATGATGGTGCATGCCTGTAGTCCCACCTACTCAAGAGGTTGAGACTGGAGGATTGCAAGTCAAGGCCAGCCTCAGCAACTTAGCAAGAACCTTAACAGCATAGCAACACCCTGTCTCAAAACAAAACAAAAAAAAAAGAAAGAAAAAGGCCTGAGGATGTAACTCAGTGGTAAAGCACCCCTGGGTTTAAATTCCCAGCACCAAAAAAAAAAGGAAAAGAAATGCACTTAGCATATTTCAATTACTCGTTCTTTTGAAAAAAATTTGTTGTGCACTTGCTCTGTACCAGGTGTTGTCTGGAGATAGTCAATTTTAAAAATTCCTGTCTCATAAGTTCAAAATCAGTAGCAGAAATGAACTAGATCAATGAGCATCTTGTTTGGTAAGTTAGATGATGCTAAAGAGAAAAATTAAGTGGAGGAGAGATTGTGGGGCAAGGGAGGCTGTGACTTGAAATCACGTGTTTGCGGAAAGACACCCCCCCACCCCCGCCAGAAGGTGACTAAGCACAGACTTGAAGGAGGACACAGGGTATGTCTGAGGAAAGGACATTTAAGATGTAAGTGGCAGCAATGCAAGACTTAGCTCCTGGCCTCCATGAGACTCCCTTAGGGCAGTCTGTGTTGTGGTGGCCTTGGAGTTCTGGGACCCAGCCCAGAATGAGTGAGAGAGGTGAATGGCGGCCCTCTCTCACACTGCTGTGTTCCCCGCCCTCCACCTCCCCAGACTTGCACCTGGCCGCAGAGCTGGGGAAGACCCTGCTGGAGAGGAACAAGGAACTGGAGGAGTCCCTGCAGCAGATGTACTCCACCAACGAGGAGCAAGTGCAGGAGATCGAGGTAAGGGGCCTCGGGCCCTGGACATGCTTTCCTCCGCCATCAAGGGTATGTCTTTGTGCAACTTTGCCAAAGGGACCCTCTTAACAGACACAGCCTTGGTCCAACAGCCTTGGGCAGTTCACAACCTGCACAACTATTCCACGCAGCTCCGTTGCTCCACTGACTCTATGCCTACTCAACTGAAGACAAATACCTCCAAACAAAACTGTACCTAGGGTGGGGAGGAATGCAAAGACAGACACTTCCCCCTGCCCTGCTCTAAAAGTCGGCTCCAACTTCCCCCTCTCCCCTAGTACCTGACCAAGCAGCTGGACACACTGCGGCACGTGAACGAGCAGCACGCCAAAGTGTATGAGCAGCTGGACCTGACAGCCCGGGACCTGGAGCTGACCAACCAGAGGCTGGTGCTGGATAGTAAGGCCGCCCAGCAGAAGATCCATGGGTGAGGGCTGGGCTGAGGCTGCGGGTGAGGGAGAGGCCCAGGGCTGGGAGCACGAGGGCACAGGGGCTGGTGCGGCTGGAGGCCCAGGCCGAGGGGCCCCAGATGGTAGTGAGTTTGTCCACGTCCATCTTGCATGGTTTAACATTTGGCCTGCAACCCTTCTTTAAGCATCAAGTAGGCACCAGGCTGGGTTTTAGACTCTGGGGATACCACGGCGGGGTACACAGGTTGTGGGGTACACTGTCTTGCCTCTTGGAGTCCCCAGCTGGGGGGGGGGGAGGCAGATGTGTAAATATCGTACTGTGGAGCAGGATGATAAGTGACAGAGGCCTGTACAAGGAACTAGGGTAGCTCAGAGTGATCAGCTTGGCCTGGGAGGTGTGAGAAAGGGCGTCTCCTCTGGGATGCAGACAGTTCCCCATCTGACCTCAGCACCAAGGAGCAAGGTTCAAAGTGACCTGTCAGTGCCCAACCCCATGTCCCTCCATCTGCAGGGATCCAGGGCTGCAGTGAGGGCCACCCCATCCCTTTAAAACTTTTCCTATGTATGTGTCCACCCCACGCCAGGTTGACAGAGACGATCGAGCGCCTGCAGGCCCAGGTGGAGGAGCTGCAGGCCCAGGTAGAGCAGCTGCGCGACCTGGAGCAGCTGCGCGTGCGCCGGGAGAAGCGGGAACGCAGGCGCACCATCCACACCTTCCCCTGCCTCAAGGAGCTGTGCACCAGCCCGCGGTAGGTAGCTGGGATAAGAGGCAGGTGGGAAGGAAGGCTGGTGCCTTGTCCAGGCCATGGGAGACTATTGCGACAATCACAGCAGCTGCATTTATGGAGCACTGGCTGTGTACCACTACGCTACTGGCTTAATTCTCATTGTCTACTCTGAAGTGTATTATTTTATTATCCTATTATTTAGACTAGAAAATTGAAGCTCAGAGGTTACATATCTTATCCAAGGTCTCCTATTAAGAGGCATGGTCAGGGTTCTAACCCAATATGGGTTAAACACCGTACCTTTCAGATCTCATTAAATCTGAGATCAATGATCATTTAACCCATTAAGTCCCAAGTTTTCAATTCTGTGAATATTTCAGTGAAATTGATGCTGGTGTATTAAAATAGGTTGGAAATAATAATCTAGAGCCTATGTATATTATTATTTGATTGACCTTAATTAATATATTTTAATTATTACGGTATAAAGTAATTGTATTATTATTGTATACTATATTTAAGTTTTTATAGACATTCTACGTCTGGGATGATGGGACCAAATGGGTTAATATAAGAATAGAGGGTTGGCCAGGCGTGGTAGCACCTGCCTGTTATCCCAGAAGCTTGGAAGGTTGAGGCAGGAGAATCACGAATTCAAAGCCAGCCTGAGCAAGGGCAAGGTGCTAAGCAACTCCGTGACACCCTGCCTCTAAAAGAAATACAAAAATAGGGCTAGGGATATAGCTAAGTGGTCCAGCGCCCCGAGTTCACTCCCCTGTGCCACAAGAAAAAAAAAAAAAGAATACAGGGCTGGTGTGTAGCTCAGTGGTGGAGCACTTACTTGCCTACCACTGGAAATGCCCTGGGTTCCATCCCCAGCACCAGAGGTGGGGCAGGGAACAGACTGCGTGTTTAGTGTGTGTTTCAGTAATGGTCTTTGCACAGAGTAATGGAGGGGGCGTTTAATAAAGAAGAGCAAGGTTATGAAAACCGCAGCACCCCAGGGTTGCAACAGAGCGGCTGAGGGGCCAGGGGAAGGGAGATGGATTACTACCTGGCTGGCACCAACAGAGGAAAAAGCCTGAGGAGGCCCCTGGCCACACACTTTGCATCTTGCTGGGTGCCTCCCTTTGCTGGGCTTAGGAGAGCAGGGGCCCTGGCTGAGGCTGTCCGTAGTGGTGCCCCACCCCCCCACCCCCGGGGGGATGGTAGAGTAGGGTGGGCAGCAGCAGACAGCAGAGACAGCCCAGGCAGAAGCAAGGTGTAAGTGTCTGAGCCTGGGCTTGGGAGCTTTGGAGATGACCACCTACCCTCACTCCTCTCCCAGGTGCGAGGATGCCTTTCGCCTGCACAGCTCCTCCCTGGAGCTGGGCCCTCGGCCCCTGGAGCAGGAGAACGAGAGGCTGCAGACCTTGGTGGGAGTGCTGCGTTCCCAGGTGAGCCAGGAGCGGCAGCGCAAGGAGCGGGCAGAGCGCGAGTACACTGCGGTGCTGCAGGAGTACACCGAGCTGGAGCGGCAGCTGTGTGAGATGGAGGGCTGCCGCCTGCGCGTGCAGGAGCTGGAGGCCGAGCTGCTGGAGCTGCAGCAGATGAAACAAGCCAAGACCTACCTGCTGGGCCGGGATGACCACCTGGCTGAGGCCTTGCTGGCACCCCTCACCCAGGCCCCTGAATCTGACGATCCCCAGCCGGGCATCGGAGATGACTCTGGTGCCCAGGACGGTGTCTCCTCACCTGCTGCCTCCCCCGGCCACGCGGTGCGTAAGAGCTGCAGCGACACGGCTCTCAATGCCATTGTGGCCAAAGACCCAGCCAGCAGGCACGCAGGCAACCTCACGCTGCACGCCAACAGCGTGCGCCGGCGGGGCATGTCCATCCTGCGGGAGGTGGATGAGCAGTATCACGCGCTGCTGGAGAAGTACGAGGAGCTGCTGAGCAAGTGCCGGCAACACGGGGCTGGTGTGCGGCACACCGGCGTGCAGACCTCGCGGCCCATCTCCCGGGACAGCTCATGGAGGGACCTGCGGGGGGGCGAGGAGGGCCAGGGGGAGGCCAAGGCAGGTGAGAAGAGCCTGAGCCAGCATGTGGAGGCCGTGGACAAGCGGCTGGAGCAGAGCCAGCCTGAGTACAAGGCACTCTTCAAAGAGATCTTCGCCAGGATCCAGAAGACCAAGGCCGACATCAACTCCACCAAAGTTAAGACACACAGCAGCAAGTGACCCTTTTCTGGCCTGCCGCTTCCCCCAGGCTCCAGGCCATGGGGTCCCTCATGCCTGGACTACATAGCCTACAGTGAGTAAGAGAGCCCTTTAGCAGCAATATATCACAGCAGGTGGCCACTCCAGAGGTGCCAGAGGAAGGGGGCCCCTCTGATCCGGGTACATTGCATGTTCCCGGTTGATGGAACAGCCAACTCGTCCCACCTCCTGCGAGTTCTTGGTCACCAGCTTCAGCCTGAACTCAGTTTCAAAGCCAAACATTCCCCGCTCCACTGGGGTTTCCCCAGCTCCACTGGCCCTGGCTTCCAGACCCTAGGCCTCACTCTCAGATCGATGGCCCAGTTTCTGAAAGCCATTCTGGATCAGTTGGCTTCCCCACCCCCAAAGTTCAGTTTTTCTGAGAGATTTGCAATGCAAGGTCGCCTTGACCCCTTGCCACAACTGGAAACACTTGAAAGGGGACCCCCAGAGCCAGCTATTGCTGGTTCCTGGGGTCTCCTGGACCACCCACTGCTTCTCGCCAGCCATGACTCGCTGTCATTCCCTTAGCACCAGCTGTCCCTACCCCCAGAGTCCTGAGCAGGTCACAGATAGCCCCTGCCTTGCAGAGCAGAAAGGCTCAGCCAGGTCCTGAGTGTCCCCCACTCCAACCCTGGCAAGGACCCCTTGCCCATCGCAGAACTGTAGCCAATCAGAAGAGGGGAAGAGGGAGCCCCTCGACAGCCATACATGAGTGGTACCCTGTTTCCCTCAGCCAGCTTCCTTGAGCTCTAGCCCCAGAAATGCCTTCTGGGCATTCAGCCTTCCAGGGGCCGGATGGTGGAGAGCCCATGTCTGTATATCGCCTCTGCCTCCCTTCTCTGCACCTGCCCCATCTCAGGGACCATGACGTCTCATTCACTCCACGCTCCCCACAGGCCAGCCTGGCACAGGTCATACCTGCTGCCCCCAGAATGTCCTGGACATGGGCCACCAGTGGCCCCAGTGTCCATCCCCATTCCCCTTCACCCGAGACTCTCCCTGCACATGAAGTAGTACTGAATTGGGTTGGGGATGAGGAATGATTTCCCGCCCTCCCACCTGCAAAATGCCTGCTCTTTACCTCCCAACTTTGTGGAGGGTATTTGAAGCCCCAGCTGGGTCAGAGGTTCAATCTTTTGGTTTAAGACTTCAGAGTCTTAGTCAAGTTTCAGCTAAGAGATGCCCAGGTCCCCAGCTTGTCCTCAGCAGTCCTTCAGGGTTTCTTGTTCTTCAGTCATCCTTCCTGAGACCCTAGAAATTGAAGGAGCCATACAATCCAGTGGAAGGCGGTGGCTCTGGCTTCTGTGCTGGGAGCCCAGCGGGAACCTTCATGCCTTATTTATTTCTAATGGGTAAAGGGGTTTCTTAACAAGCATACCTGACATCCCTCAAACCTTGTTCTGGGCGGCACTGTGATGTGAGCTGGCGGCTGGTCTTCTGTTTGTGCAACTTGGAACCTTTTGTCTTTTGGGGCTGGGCAGTTCCTAGCCCTCCGTATGTCTCTGTCATCTGGGGGAAGGGGTAAGCTCTGGCCTGTTTGCTCCCCAGCTCTGTAGCCGCCGACCAGCGTCTCCTTTGAAGTATACGTGAGAGAAATATATTTACAAATGCTTTATTCTCTTCTTTAATAAAAAATGCACCAGTATTCTAAAAAGCAGAAATGGCCCTAGAGCCAGGGTCCCATCTCTGTGTGTCTCACAGGCTTCCTCCTGTCACACTCCACTGAAGGCCAGGAAGGTGCCTGAGCTCCCCTCCACTGTGACCCTCTACCTTTCCTCTGAAGCCCCTCAGCCTCTCACTGCTCACCTCTCTGTGATCAGCATCCAAACATCTCTAAATAGCATCTCCATGTTCATCGAGAGCCAGTGTCACCAGTCATGCTGGGGAGACAATAATGAACAAAAGAGACAGGGCTTGTCTTGCCTTGCAGTTCACATTCTAGTGTGGGCAGATTTCCCCAAAGTCAGCTAAAATAAACCAAAGATAGGGTGATGGAAAACTGGGGGCAGGAGGCTTGGTGTCATGTTAGCTAGGACACATGTACTCAATGGGAGCAAACTTAAAAAAAAACACTTCTGTGTGGATATATGCATACAGTATATGAAGAGATATACAGTATATCTATGGTGTTAAAATCTTATGGTGGGGGCTGTGGCTGTGGCTCAGTGGTAGAGAGCTTGCCTAGCATGTGTGAGGCACTGGATTCAATCCTCAGCACCACATAAAAATAAATAAAATAAAGACCCATTGACACAAAAAATATTAAAAAAAAAAATCTCATGGGGGAGCCGGGTGCGGTGGCCAGCACATGTAATCCCAGCGGTTTGGGAGGCTGAGGCAGAAGGATCCTGAGTTCAAAGCCAGCCTCAACAAAAGTGAGATGCTAAGCAACTCAGTGAGACCCTAACTCTAAATCAAATACAAACAAGGGATGGGGGTGTGACTCAGTGATCAAGTGTCCCTGAGTTCATTCAATCCTCGGTACAAAAAAAAATAAAAGAGAGAAACCTCATAGTGGCCTTAGAGAAACCTCATGGTGGCCTTTTCACCATCATGACACTGAGGGCAAAGAAGGAAGCTCCTCACCATCCCAAAACTGAAGCCAAAGCAAAGGTTTGGACTCTTAAGAAGGCAGTACTGAAAGGTGGCCACAGCCACAAAAAGATCTGCATGCCCTCTGCCTTCCAAATGCCCAAATAGCTGTGGAAGAGCACCCCCCTCCCGAATGCAACAGGCTCTACCTGCACGCCATCAGGTTCCCCAACCAGAGTTGGCCGTGGGGAAGACAGAAGACTGTTCCCTATGGATGCTGAGGCCAGCAAGCAGCAGATCACACAGGCTATGAAGAAGCTTTGTGAGGTTGATGTGGCCAAGGTCAGCACCCTGATCAGGCCTGATGGAAAGAAGGCCTATGTTCACCTGGCTCCTGATTGTGATTCTTTGGATGTTGCCAACATCCAAAGAATCACAATAATTTTTTTTACGAAGGAACAATTAGGGGGAAAGTGTCCCCCTCCCGAGGAGGAAAAGGAGACTGATAATGGGGAAAGAAGATTGGGAAACGCTTGATGAGACTGGCTGGGGCACACCAGCTGGTGTGATGATTAGCTGAGACTCAAGACCGGGGAGGCACCAGTGGAAACAGTAGGGCACGACCAGGCAGGGGATGAGAGTGGAGGCCAGGCCCCCCAGGGAACAGGCTTAGGAGGCTTGCACCTCCTAAATGCAAGGAAAAGTGATTGCAAGGTTTACGGGTGTCATCTGTAGTTTTAAGGCTTCCACTGCATGGAAGTCGAATGATAGGAAAAGTGAAGGAGCCCAGGACAGAGGCTGAGCCCCAAGGGACCATGAAAGAGGAATAAACAGACCAGCCCTGGGGGATCCACTTGGAATAGAGGAGAGTTGCAAGAATTACCACAGGACCCTCTCCAGGTATTTCCAAACCTATCAACCACTCACCTCTCTTCCATGTACACAGAAATACCTCACAGCTTCCAGCTATTCCCAAAGACCTGTCTCTTCACCATGTTTTGGAGAGGTGAGGACAGTAGGCAGGAGAGCTGGTCACCTAGGGGGCTCACACTCACCCGCTGTGCTCCGGTGTGGAAGGTGTAATCAGTCCATGGGTTTTCTCTTTCTTCAATGCACAGTGATAGCATGTGTCCTTTTTAGAAGTTCCCATGCCCACACTGTCCTCTTCAAATCTGGTAATGACCTCCTGGAACTTGAGAATTGCTGCCCAAACTCAGATATCTGAGGCCTGGAAACATACCTGAAGGTTTGGGTAAGAGGAGCACCTTGGGAAATCTGCTGTTACCTCATGCTGTGTACGCCACCCAGCCACCTTGCACCCCCACACACGGTAGATTGCCCCCTGCCCTGCAGATCCTGCTGGTCCCTCTTGCAGTCCAGTACTGTCTGTGGCATGGGTGACTCCAGAATTGGAGAAGAAAATGTACTGGGCGTTTTAGGGTTCATTTTCTTGCCATCTTCTCCACTCTCCCATTTTCAAATAGAGAAAAAATGCAGCTCTGTGGCCCATGAACTGCATCTGTGGAAAAGCTTCCAAAGTCTTCTTTGGGAGTAGACACAGGGACCAGCAGGGGCCGTGGGTAAAGAGCAAGCTTTTGCTCACTGCTCTTAAGGAGGGAGGAAGGTATGGTAAGGGAGCCCAGAGCTGGGTCCCAAACTGGTGCCTACATCAGTTGAACAGCATGGATGGTTTACATGGGCAGCCTGCAGGGGCTCCAGGATTTCCCATCCTGTTGTCACCTGTCTCCAGTGGCATGAGGGCACATTATAGCTCACACAAAGAGCCATCATGTGGGAAGCAAAGGAAGCTGTTCGAGGCCTGTATCCAGCTACCTTCTCTCCTTGGCTTTTAACCTGCCTTTCCCCCTCTTTCCCCACCTGGGGGCCTGCATTGTCTGAGTTCAACCCCAGTACCAAAAAAAAAAAAAAAAAAAATCTCATGGTGGCCTTTTCACCATCATGACACCGTGTCACGTTTCTCAGGCTCTCTTCTTCCCTGATCTGGCAATCTTCCCACTGCCAACCCAAATACACTGAGCCACTGCAGTGAGGAAATCAGCCAGCCAGCCCTGTCTCAGCCCTGCCTGCAAATCCTGGCTGTTTTCAGGGACCAGGGAGCCAAGTGGTGGTGGCAAAGGAAGTAGCTTCCAGAAAGAAGGCAGCAGTTCTGCCCACTCACTCATGCTGTGCGCTGTCCATCCCCTCAGGGAAGAAAGGAAAAGGGTCCAGTGGAGCTGGATTTTCTACCCCAGGGCTGCAGAGGAAAAAAGCTAACAGTCATCAGGTCTCTGCCATGGGCACTAGTATCCCTGAGTAGCTGCTAATTTGATACATACTGGCTTTGGGACAGGCATGGTATGAAGTGCTTTGCATGTGTTTAATACCATCAGGACCTTTAGGAGGCAGCTATAAAACCTCCAATTTACTGATGAGGATATGGAGGCTTAGAGGTTAAGGTAGCTATTCAAAGTCACAGAGAAATAATCCATCTCAGGCCTGACCGATTTCACCACGCTTCGCTGCGTGTCCCTGGGTCCACACAATGATGAGATAAATCTAAGAGGCTATCTGACCCAAGGCACTCCAGAGAAGAAAGGAAAATCTCGTGGACCCCTTGCGTGAGAATGTACCCTGCCATGAAGTAGGGCTGGTATGTGCAAGCTCCTCAGCTGCCAGGAATAGCTTGGTGAGGAGGCTTTTTCCTTTCTCCCCCATGAATGCCCACTTCCTGAAGCGCCATCTCAACCTATGGAAGATCAAGAAGGGGAAGAACACTAGTCTCAGCTTTCAGCACCTGCTTTTCTTGGGAAACCGGTGGTCCCTCTTGTCACCAAATGGAAGTCTCAGAAGTTCGCCCAGAAGAGAGGAGACCTCAACTTGGTCCCTGCAGGCTCTTGACATACTTTGCAGAAAAAAAAATTCAGGATACATTAGAAAAAGGCACAATCACAAATTTATTCAGGAAAGCACACTCAAAGGCACAGAGTGTGGTACTGGGGATTAAACCCAGGGGTGCTTTACCACCTCCCCAGCCCTTTTTATTTTTTATTGTAAGACAGAGTCTCAATAAGTTGTTGAGGCTGGCTTTGAATTTGTGATCCTTCTGAGTCACTGGGATTACAGGTGTGTGCCACTGCACTCTGCAGCACTCTTTTTAAAAATATTTTTTGAAGTTGTAGATGGATACAATACCTTTATTTTATTTATTTATCTTTATGTGGTGCTGAGGATCAAACTCAGGGCCTCACATACACTAGGCAAGCTCTCTACCACTGGGCTACAACCCCAGCCCCACTTTTTTTTTTAAAGGAAATTTTGTAAAGAGTAAAGAGAAGAGGTATGTCTGGTGAGCTCAATTCTTTTAACCATGGAGCACAGGGTAGGTCATGGTGATCTGGTTCTTTTCAGGATCTCTAGGTTGACATTATCTAGTTAATAGATAACATTTGAAACATACCCATTATTTCTCCCTGGGCTAAAGAAAATGTTGTGTAAGCAAGCAATGTATATTGGCATTAATTAACTGGACTCACAATACTCTTAAGATCCAGGGGCCTTTTAGGAATTTAGGTCTGGAGGAAAACCAGCCTGGGGAGCAAAGATAAGGGTGTTCATGGAGTTTCTTAAAGTTACACTTTCTTTTCTTTTTTTCTGTGATACTAAGGACTGAAAACCGAGGGACACTCTGCCACTGAGCTATACCACCAACTGCCTTTAAAATTTTGATACATGGTCTAAGTTGCGGAGGCTGACTTCAAACTGCCTTATCCTCCTGCCTGAGCCTCCCAGTAGCTGAGTTTACAGACATCTGCAACCACACCCAAGTGGGGATTTTTTCCCCCTTTTCTGATGGTCTCCTTTCTACCTATCCTTATTTCTTCTTCCTCATTCTTGGCCCATTTTCTCCAAAAGGGCCTCATTCTGGATGGTTCCCTGTGGCAGCAGGTGAAAGGAGCTTACCAGCTGCTTCCCCCGAGCCCCAGGGCAGCTTGTTTCATTCTTCTCTCTCCCTTCACTTCTCCTAGAATCCAGGCCACCAGATGGCCTGAGCAGGCTGTGTTTATTTGGGGCCATGGAAACCTGCAGTTTCCTTTTCCTATGGCTCTGAGTCAGGTAGAGGCTGGAGTCCAGCCTGAGAACAAAGGCTGTCTTGAAACAGCTCCAACTTTATTACTCACAATCCTCTACCTAGACCTGAGCGCCTGGCTCTGCTCCCCCTAGCAGCTTATTCTAGTTACCATGGAGACATTTATGTTCCTTCTGGGGTCTTGGGACTAAGTCAGACAAGGAGGGACCCAGGAGACTCTCCTTCCTACCTAGTGCCCAAGAGGAGCAGTCAATTGCCAACCCTTCCTAGTCGGAGTATACAAAGCCAGGGTAGGAAAATGGTTTATTCTGATGATGCTGAGATGGTACTGGCTTGATTAGAAGACAGTCTCCTGTTTCAATGGTCAACATCCCCAGGAGATATTTAAAATATCCCAGCGTCATATTTTTCTAGGTAATTATGCTTTTTCCTAACAATAGAACCCTTCATTAAGAAACCACCACAAGTACTACTAATAATTACATTTATGGAGCTCTGTTTTCCTTTACACACTGCCTCTCCACTAAGTCACTTAAGTAAGGGTTAGCTGTTTTCAAATACTGCTGTCTCTATTTCCAACCTGTTTCAGAATCAGAATCTCTGCGTTCTGGAGTCCTGTGTCAACAGGGCTCTGCTTAGCCTGCCATCTCCCTCAACTCTTCTACCATCCCCTTATCTTCTAACTGGAAGAAACCACCATTATTCTCCGTAAAGCTGGAGGGTGTGGACCAGTCCACGTTTTGGGAACATTTGTTCCATGACCTGCCTCCCATTCCTGCACGGCACGGGGGGATATGCCAGTACTATGCACACACGCAGGCTGCCTTGTGGGAAGACCTGAAGTCCTAAAGCTCAGCTCTACCTGAACTCAACTTCAAACACACATTCCCTTGGGGCTGGGGCTGGGGTTGTGGCTCAGTGGCAGAGCGCTTGCCTAGGATGTGTGAGGCACTGGGTTCAATCCTCAGCACCGCATATAAATAAATAAAAGTCCATCAACAACTAATAGAATATTTAAAACAAACACATTCCCACAGAATTCACTTGATCAACCTCAGTGGAGTGCCCCCCCCCCCCCCCCCCGTGCCATGTTCTGGGTGCTGGGAATACAGCAGGGAGCCAGCACCCTCCTGGAGCTTACCTTCTGGCAACAGACAGGCAGTTACATTAGAAAAATAAGACTTGGTGATTTTAAAAAAATGATAAGTCAGAGCAGAATAGAGGGATGCGGGGCGCGCGGCCGGCGGTGGGCGGTGACCCAGGCGGTGCAGGGAAACCTCACTGGTGTGTTTCATTTGACCTCAAGATACCGACACAGGGCTTCTGGGGAACAACACGAATCCGGTTGTGTTGTGTTTTTTTTGTTTGTTTTTTTGGTCTGTTTGCTGGGCGGCTCCCTTGGGGGTCTGGCCGACATCTGCTCCGTGTCAACCAGGCCTCCTCAGAAGCACAGCCGGGTACGTAGTTCGTCGCCTCCGGGAGGCGGGTCCTAGAGGCTGCGCGGAACCTTAAGTCCGAAGAGCAGCGTAATCTTGCGGACCGCGGGGGGAGCGCGCACGCCGGAAGCTGCCCAGAGGCCGAACATGGCGACCGCCTGGGTCCTGCGCTGGGCCCTGAGCCGAACTGGAGCCTGGCTGCTCCCGCCGCCCGCGCGCTTCCCGTGCCGGACTCTACACAAGCAGGTAGACGGCACCGAGTTCCAGAGCATCTACAGCTTGGACAAGCTCTACCCTGACTCTAAGGGTTCGGACACCGCTTGGAGGGTCCCGGTGAGCCGGGAAGGGCCGGACGGAAGGGGCGTTTCCTCCCGCAGCTGGGTGACGTCAGGAGGCCGGGAGCCCATTGGCCGGCCGCGGGGCTACGAAGGGTCGCCGCGGGAGGAGACTGGTTGGCCGATCACCGGGGCCTGGGACTGCAGAGGTGTAGTGGCGCCGGCTGTGACCCCGGCTGCGCGGGCTCAGGGGTAGCAGGCTAGACCCACTGCTTTGAGACCACCAGCTTTTCCGCGTTTGTTTTCCAGTCCTCGGGCTCAAATTCGTGTCCCAAGGGAAATGTGGGCATTCTGGCCCTCCCAAGTGGACAGTAAAGACCGATTCTGGCAAGTTCTTTACTACCAATTTGGAACGTTGCATGGCCCATTGCCTCTAGTAACCCCAACACGGCAGAGGAAACAGCGTTTCCCGTTTGGTCCTTCAGGATCCATTTATTTAGCTCATTGTTTGCAGGTACTGCACATGCCAGAACGATGGAACCCACCTGGTTCTGTTGAGCTAGCACCTACAGCACTGCAAGATAATGCAGTTTCTTTCTTTCTTTCATTCACTCACTCATCCAGCAAACTTATTGGGAAGGTGCTGTGCTGCACTGGCTAGACCAGGGCATAGAGTAGTAAACAAAACAAAAATCCGAATGCTGTGGTGTTTATAGTCTACTGGAGGGAGACAGGCAAAAAAAATAATAATTAATTTAGAATGTATGATATGGTATCTGGAGAAAGTAAAGCCCAAAGGAAGAGAGAGCACCAGAGGTTGCAGTTTTAATTAGGGTGGTCTGGAAAGGCCTCAGTGAAGAGGTGACATTCGAGTAAAGACCTGGAAGAAACAAGACAATGAGCCATGAGAATACTGGGGAGGCAAACATCCCAGACAGAGGGAACAGTAAGTGCAACCCATTTAAGGCAGTAGTATGTTGGAGCAGTGTAGCTGAACAGGACATTCAGAAGAAGTAAAGCTAAAGAGGAGAAGGATGGTTGGGGAAAGGCCTGTGATTAGGGCTTATTGGCCTCAACTTTCCGCTGAATGTAATAGAGACCTGTTGGAGAGTTTGAAGCAGAAGATTGGAATGATGCACCTTAATTTTACCAGGATCACTTGTAGAGCCTTACAGAGAGTAGACTAGAAGATGGCACTAATATAGACAAGAGGATAAGCAATGTGGAAGCAATAGGAATCTTGAGAATTGGTCAGATCCTAAATATATTTTGAAGGGAAAGCCATAGGATTTGCTAATGGATTGGATCTGAGAAGTAATAAGTGAAATTGAAGTCTAAAGCCTGGGGCAATGGAAGCATTGACTTGCTATTATATTAGCATGAGAGAGTATAAAAACAGTCATTTGTCCTTTCATTCAACAAAAAGTTTATCGTGTACTTACTGTTTCAAGCATAGCAGATGCAGCCATGATAGACAAGATCCCTGCCTGGTGGAGCCTGTGTTCTAGTAAAAGCAGTAAACAGTTAGCAAATCGGGAAAATATCAGAAGATAAAAAAAAGAATTGGCCAGTGTGCTATAGTAGAAAAAATTCAGGACTACTTCAGATTGTTAGAGGGAAGTCCCCTGGGAGGAGGCCTGAGGTTTGAGGCAACCATTAGGCATCAGAGTAGCTGCTGGGACATGGGACTAGAGTTAAGCAAAGAGGTGGATTTGAGCCAGAAAGTTGGGAATCAGCAACACAGATGGGATGAAGAAAGAGGAAGAAGCATTTCAGGGTCATATCAGTGTTTAAAAGTTGCAAAAACCTAGCAAAGTAGAGTGAGAAAGAGGCTCAGGGAAGCTAGAGGAAAACCTGGAGAGGGTATCTCCGGAGAAAGAGGAAGAGCAAGCTTCAGGAAAGAGGGTGTGGCCCATGGTTTTCAGGTCTGGGGAGAGGTAAGCAGGCTAAGGGTTTCATCTCCAAATAATTCTAAGATAAAGGGAATAAAGGCAGTCAGCAGGGGTTACAGGTAAGGATACTTTTGTCTTAGAGGGTCAGAAAAGCCTCAGAGCTGGTGGTATTTATGCTGAACCTTGTGGACCCAAAGATTGAAGGCTAAAGGGTATTGCTGCCAGAGGAAGAGCTTCAGGAGAGGCAGGTGAGAAGGCCTGGGGCAGAGTAGTTCAGGCTGACCTGAACCCTGAAGTCCTGTTCAAGGTGGGCCCACTCACATGTGAGTCTCATATGGGGAACAGAGTGGTCCACCAGGGTTGTTCTCTGGGTTGGCAGAGAGTGTTGCCTTGGAAATCTCCTGAAACATATACACGGAGGCTTCCTCCACACACTGCAGGAGCCAGGCCCTTGATGGTGCCTGTACTATCTAAGGCACTAGCTCTAGGAATGGCTTAGAGACACCAGTTCTGTTTTCGCAGAGGGGTGTTTCTGAGTTAGTGCCTCTGGAGACTGGGGGATCCTTTTTCTGTTACTCTGATGTGATGATTTTGCTGGGGAAATGAAAATAGTGACATATTACATTTGCACTGTGGATTTCCATCATTTCTTTTATTGCTCTGGACCAGCTAAGAGTCACCCAGCAGGTGATAGCCACGTGACCTGTGTATATTACATTACAGGATGATGCAAAGCAAGCCAGCAATGACATCCCACTAGGTAAGTGGTTTTGTTTTAGTAAAAATCAGCCATTTTAAGCCAAGCTCAGTAACTTATGACTATAATCCTTTACTTGGGAGGCTGAGTGAGGCAGGAGGATTGCAAGTTCAAGTCCTTTTATTTTGAAACCCTAACTTGAAATTAAATAAAATAAAAGGGCTGGGGATATAGTTCAGTGCTTGCTTACCATGTATGAAGCCCTGGGTTTAATCTCCAATACTGCCCTGACCCCCCCCCCAAAAAAAAAAACAAACCAGTCATTTCAGGCTGGGGTGTAGCTTAGTTGTAGAGTGTCGGCCTAGCCTGTGTGAGGCCCCAGGTTTGATCCCGAGCACAATAGGAACAACAACAAAAAAAAGACATTTCCCACCCCTCACATGTTCCTTCCAGATCTCACCAGCCCAATTTAAGTTTATTTAAAAAAATAAAATAAAATAGACATTATTATTGCTGTATGTATATATGTGACTGTATGACCAATGTGATTCTGCAACCTGTACAATCAGAAAAATGAGAAATTATACCCCATTTGACTGAAATATATGAAATGTCAAGATCATTGTACTGTCATGTGCAACTAATAAAAATAAATAAAAAATCCCAAGAAATGAAGAGTAAAAAAAAAAAAATTCTGGGCGTGTAAAAGTGAAGTCTCTAGCATTGTTTAAAACAGCATATGAGCGACAGTGCAACCACTCGTGGAGTACCACCCAGTATGCCCGCAGATGCAGACCTCCTGATGTGCTCATGATATAGAAGTTTTTACAGTAAATGAGTTGATTTTTGTGGGAATAAGAAGGTACAGGGGAGCTTAAAAGCTGCCAGTTTTCTTTCACATATGTATTTACATTTGTGTATTTGTATCTGTTTATCTGAGTGTGCATGTGTGTGTATATCTCAAAGACCTGGATACCAGGCTAGAGAAGTGGCTCAGTGGTAGAGTACATGCATAACTTCAGAATTCTGTACCTGTAGGCATAGGGCCTGGCAAAGTGAGCCTTTAGAGTCAGAGAGCTATGCCTCCCACAAACAGTGAAAGGGAGAGTAGCCAAAGGTTTGGGGTTCCTCTGACACTAAAGCAGAGAGGCCAGAGACTGCAACACATGGGATAGGACACCTGTGGGTGAGGAGCCGCAACAAAGTGGTTTACAGCTCACAGCTCAGCCCTAGAGAGTGCGTGGAGGGGAGGGAGTGGAAAGCCATGTATCAACAGAACTGGAGGCAGAGAAGTGTCTCGTGCAGCCTTCCCAGGAAGATAGACAGCTTCCCAGTGGGCAGTGGCCTTGAGCAACTCCTTCCTGGCCTCCCATACTCTCTTGTTCTGGGAGGACTTCACCACATACTGTTCCTGCAAAGGCAGACTGCTGCTCTCGTCCTGGCCCAGGTGGCTGGTGGGTTTCCATGCTAGGTTGCAGGGCCCCGTGGTAGAATCATTCCCTTGACCATTTGTTACCTGATCAGAACAAGGATTTAATTCTTTTTTTTTTTTTTTCCAAATGAGGAAGGCCCCTCAGCAGCAGTTCTGAGATGGGGCATCACTGCCCACAGAGCACTGCACCTGCCCCCATGGTGCCACAGTGCTTCACCACCAGACCTCTTTCGGTTCACAGCTTGTCTTCTGAAACCTTCCCACCACCATGCCTTCACTACCTAGCTACTGCTAGGCTGTTTTCATTAATTATAAAAGTGGAAGGAAAAAACTTATAGACTAAAAGTAAACAAAACCAAAACCCAGAGAAGCAGTGGGACTTTGCTAACATCACACAGTGGCTATGTAAGTGTTCAAAGTGAGGGCTCCCATCTCCAGACCAAGTCCTCATTCCTCCCGCAAATGTTTTTAGCACTGACCGTGACCTAGGCTCTGGGAACACACAATGAGTCAGACACAGTCCTGCCCTCCTGAAGCTTACAGTCCATGGGGATTCCTTGTCCACCACACTTTGAGATACTTGAACTTGTCTGTAAGTTTGAACTTTTGAAAGTTCAAACTTTAAACAAACAGCAAATAAATAGGGCAGAAGGATCTGGTGGAATGTGCTAGACCAGAAGAGGACAGCCCAGAACCCAGTCATAATTTTATTTCTCTGCTGTCTATATGACCTTGGGGAAGTACTTGCCCTTTATTTCAGTTTTGACATCTATAAATACTCTACAGCTTTACTGGCCTGAATGCTACATTTGTGTGTGCCTTGTGTGATTGAAAGAGATGTGTAATAAGGACAGTTACGTTGATAATTAGCAGTCTGTACATTTGGCCATGGGATAACCCTTTGGGTGTGCATCCTTTCATTTTATAGATCGCTTGACGATATCTTACTGTCGGAGTAGTGGTCCCGGCGGGCAGAATGTAAACAAAGGTACAGGCACCTTGGTGTTTTCTGTTGCTTTAAAACTTAGCTGGGAGAGGGGATTGAAGAGGGAGCTGTTTTTACATTCATGTGGAATAAAGGGATTTTTTCAGCCAAAGCTTAAATACCACCAGCTTATAACAATCCTCTTTATCCTTTTGAATGTGGTCTGATTCTCAGGCTGTCAGCTATGGCTTGCTAGGAGTAGGATTGGCTTGTGAAGCTAAACAAAGAGAACTCACAGTGTGAGCTGGCAGCCAGCTCCAAGACAGGTTTCCTTCATTCTTGTGGAACCCATTCCCCCCATTCTTTACTGAAGCCAGTAAAACTGGAAGAGAAGCATTGCATGGATAGTTACCAGAAGGTTTTTTGTCCTGAAGAGCTTCACTGCCTTTGCGGGCTCGTTCCATGGCCAACTTCGACAAAGGCCAGCACATGCATGGCTGGGTATCTGGCTTCCCTTGGTTCCAGGATAGTCACTGGTCCCCTGGGTGCCTCATCTTCCCAAGTCTCAGTGACCACTACTCCTTTCTTTCATCCGCAGTGAATTCCAAGGCTGAAGTCAGATTCCATTTGGCCACAGCTGACTGGATTGCAGAGCCTGTGAGGCAGAAGATTGCGCTCAAGGTAACCACTCTCCCTTTATTTCCCTGCAGATTCCTCAGCGGCTTCTAAACCTTTACTCTGCAGAAGTCCACTTTTTCCTTTTGTTCTTTCAGCATAAAAATAAGATCAACAGGGAAGGAGAGTTGATACTCACCTCCGAAAGCAGCCGCTATCAGTTCCGGAATCTGGCAGATTGCCTACAGAAAATTCGAGATATGATCGCAGAGGCCAGCCAGATGCCCAAGGAGCCATCCAAAGAAGATGCTCAACTTCAGAGAATCAGGTACCAGAAGATGCCCTAGGTTGTGTAGACTGATTCATGTAGGCAAGAGCTGCACAGGAAAGAAAGGAGGCAGGATGAAGTTCAAGAGGCCCGAGCAGGCATGGAGAATCTGCAGGAGGGGCAGGGACTCACCCTGGACGGGGTGTGCATCTGCACCTGGTGACCGGGCTATTCTCCCTCCCACTCAGCTTCCCACCATTCCTACCACTTTGAAAGGCACTGATTGGGCATTTGGGTCTCATTGTGGTCTTTTTGTTTTCAGGATAGAAAACATGAATCGGGAAAGGCTGAGACAAAAGAGAATAAATTCTGCCATAAAGACAAGCAGGAGGGTAGACATGGACTGAAATCCCTCCAGCATCCACTCTTCAGGGCGTTGGAGCAGCTGCAGCTGAGAGACCTGTAACGCCATGAGGATATTCGTTTTCTTTATCTTCTTTGCTGTTAACATTGGAACCGTTAAGAGAGTATTCATTTGGAATGAGGGCTTCAGGCACTGGTTGCAGGTCTTCATATACCATTACCACGTTGTTAAACCATAGTTACCCATTGACTGTATTACTAACTGCAATAAATTTTGGTTTTTTTTGATACCAGGAATTGAACCTGGGGATACTTAACCACTGAACCACATCCCCAGCCCCTTTTTGTATTTTATTAGAGACAGGAACTCTCTGCATTGCTTAGGGCCTTGCTAAGTTATTGAGGCTGGCTTTGAATTCTCAATCTTCCTGCCTCAGCCTCCCGAGCCACTGGGATTACAGGTGTACACCTGGCTTGCAGTAAACTTGTTAAGCTCAGTGGGCCTTGCCTGTCAGAATGCTTCAAGACAAGACACTGACCTTTTCTCTCACCTGAAATCTACCCCACTATCACTGCCTCAGCGCTGATGATTTCACAGCTTACTGCTAGAGAACAGAGGGCTCTGGGTCTTCCATCAAGGAACACACAACTAGGCAGAAGGGCATTTGAGCTAGGACTTGAAAAAGGTATAGGATTTCAATCAGTAGAGAGGGAGTATTATATGCTATTTGAAAGGAAAAGTGTAAATCCAGGAGACAGAAGAGCTAAGGTGCAGGATGTGACAAGGAAGCCATTGGTACTGAATGGCAGATTCCTGCAGGGGCTTGTCGGAAGTCCATCTAGAAAGGCAGAGGCTCTATTAGAGAGCCCGGAACTCAAGGTAAATTGTTAATTTGGGGCAGTACTAGTGATTGAACCAAGGGCATTTTACCCTGAGCTACATCTCCAGCCACCCCAACCTTTTTTTGAAACAGGGTCTCATTAAATTGCCCAGGCTGGTCTCAAACTTGAGATCTCCTGCCTCAGCTTCCTGAGTTGCTGGGATTACAGGTGTGCACCACCATGCCTGACCATGGTAGGGTTTGGATTTCGTGAAACAATAGGTAACAGGGAGCCACTAAGAATTCGAGTGAGTATTGCGTATTAGGTGTATATTAAATTGGCAGTGGGCTTTAGAGGCAGGAAGAGTTTACTGGAATTGAAAAGAGACTTTTGCAGTCCTGTGGGTGTGGGAACAAGCACCCAGGCTAGGGACCTAGGCTAATGTAACAGTGGTGGATTATTCTGGTATGTATGAAGTTCTTCAAATGCTCTATATTATTTTGATGCGGTTCTCTCATTTGATAAATACCAGATCATGATGCTCCAAGTGTAAGGTAATGAACTATAGTAGTATATACACTTGAGTAGGCACCTCATCGTTCATATAGGTAAGTCCAGACTAGGGGGTAAGTCATTTACAAGTGACTGGCAAAATACAGAAGATGTGGAGCTGGGGTTGTGGCTCAGCAGTAGAGCGCTCGCCTCACACTTGTGAGACCCTGGGTTTGATCCTCAGCACCACATAAAAGTAAATTAAGTGAAGTGGAGGTATTGTGTCCAACTATAACTAAAAAATATTTTTAAAAAACTACAGATGTGGAAGATAGGACTCGGAGCCTCGGGGCTGAGTCTGTATGCAGGACATACAACATTCATTCAGTAATTCAATAGAACTGAATGCCAGATGCCACGAGAGGTGAGGAGTCAGCAGTGAACTAAAGTCCATCATTCCAGAGAATTGGCATGTGTCAGATGATGACAAAACAGAAAGAAAGGTGGTTCCTGTAACAGTCACATGACCTAAAGCATAGTCAATGACACAGGCGAAGCAAATGGACTGGGGACAGAGAGCAGAGCTGGCTGGTGGGTCAGAGAAGATGTACTTGAGGTGCTTGAGATGGGCCCTAAGGAGGGCAAGAGCTGCCCAGGCAAGCAAGGGGAGGGCATCTAGATGAGTGACCAGTGCTTAGTGCACTGAGCAAGCAATCAGGGAAGGACAGCTGTGACTTCTGGCCCAGTTCTTCAGGAACCCAGGGCACAAGTTGCTGTGAAAGATGAGTCTGCCACACCAAATGGACGTCAGATTTCAATGGGACAGCCAACACACTTAGACTTCACCCCTCCAGAGGCTGTCAGGAGATGACTGACCTGCTCGTGAAAGGACAAAGAAGGACTGCGGGGGAGTGGGCAAGGGTTGGCCAGTGGATCTGGGGCAGCAGGTAATGATCCATCCTCACACGGGGCAGTGACAGCGGGTTGGAGAGAAGTGCCAGATGCTGGAGCATTAGGGGGGACAGAAAGTTGGCCTGGGTGGTGTGGGAGTAGGGGTGTGGTGGGGTTATGCTGTGCACGGAGACAACAGTCAAAAGGGGCTGTATGCAAGCAGGACTGGGAGGGAATGGAGCCCTGGAGCTGGGAGTGAAGTTGCTGTGGGGAGATCCAAGGTCCACACAGACAGGCAGTGTCTTGGGAATGGACAAGAGCCGCTGAGAATGAGGCAAGGCAGAGCCTGGGGAATACTTGGCTAGGTGGAGCAGAGGGAAAGCAGAGACCCTGGGGCATGGCACAGAGCCAGAGGCCTTCAGAAGACATTGGTGGGAGGTGAAGATACCCAGAAACACCCTGGGATATACAGGAGGGAAGGGAAAGGTAAAGAAGCGAAGCAAGGACTGGGGTTGTGGCTCAGTGGTAGCGCACTTGTCTAGCATGTGTGATGCACTGGGTTTGATTCTCAGCACCGCAAACAAATAAATAAAGGTCCATCAATCTCTAAAGATTTTATTTTTTTTAAAAGCGAAGGAAATGGACTGGGGACAGAGAGCAGAGCCCATTCATAAAAACGAAATTTCAAAGACAATGTTGAGTGAAGGAGGCCAGACCTCATAAAATTATAGACTACAGTTAATTTCATTTATATGAAGTTGAAAACTAGTAAAATCATTTGTGATGAGAAAAATAGAACATGCACAGGGGCTGGGGCTGTAGCTCGGTGGTAGAGTCAGAGAAGGATTTGCATGACGGAGGAGATCATTGACTTGGGGAGGCACAGGGTGCCTTGCAGGTGCCAGGAGGTTCCCTGTCTTGATGGAAGTGGCAGGTTCATAACTCAGGCAGGAGGAGAAGCTCGTCCTAAGGACCTGTGATTACTGCCTGCCTTTAAACCTCAGCAGTCACAGCCAGAAGTCCTCAAGGCAGTGGACTGGAGCCACATGGGCGAAATTCTTCCTTCTTGCTCTAGTAAGGGGAGGAAGGAGACCTGTTTCTGCAGACTCTGTTTTAGAGAGAAGCAAAGAGGAATATGCTCAAGTCCTGTTTACCCTGCAAAGTCTGGAAGTAGGCACAATGGGACTACACATTTGTCCTTGGCTGAAGGTTTTTGTTTTGTCCTTCCCTGACCCCTGGTTCTGGGGTTGAACCCAGAGACACTCTGGGTTCATTAAACTACATCCCAATCCTTAATTTCCTTGTGAAACAGGGTCTCCCTAATTTACCCAGGTTGCCTTCGAACTTGCCATGCTCCTGCTTCAGCCTCCCGAGTCCCTGGGATTACGGCTGTGCACCTTGGCCCACCGTGCGTGCGTGTGTGTGCGCGCGCGTGTTAAGGAATATTAGACTTACAGTTTTAAAGAAAATACTAGAGTGAAAACTCTGCCCGGCTGCCATCCACGCACCCTGTTGGTAACGTGACAGGTGTGCACAGTACACGGGATCCTGTTGTGGCTGGATCGGTGCGTTCTCACGACGGACTCCGTGTCCGTGCCTCGTGTCTGTTCTCTTTCACTTCCCGCACTACCTTCTCCTAAAATTCTTGATTTTTGCATCAGTTCTTTAGAGGTACACAAAAATGGTCAGGAAACGCCACCGCCCTCGGTCTTCCCGCATCTACGGTCAGGTTTTCCAGGCGACTTCAAGGCGGCCCCCAGGTTCCGAGGAGCGCCCGCGGCTGGGCCGGAGCGTGGCGATGGCCCAGCCCGGTGCGGTCCCTTCGCCTCCCGCAGCTCCGGGCCGGCCCGACTGCGACCTGCCCGGCCAAGCAAGGTCGCACTGCACATCAGAGGAGAGGCAGGCCGCACGCGCCGCAGGCCCCAGTGGCCTAATGGATAAGGCACTGGCCTCCTAAGCCAGGGATTGTGGGTTCGAGTCCCACCTGGGGTAGTGCCCATCATTTTTAGCTTTCCCCAAGCTCCAAATGGAGCCCGGCCTCCAGGTAGGCTCCACTGGGCAAGAGGGGCTCTGCTCTGTTCCTCCACACCGGCGAGGGGTGGCCGAGAGAGTTGGCCGCACACCTTCTTCCCGGGTAGAAAAGTCCCCAGATGGAGGCCGTGGAGTGTTGAGGCTCCCGACCCGGGGCAGCTAGAAATGAATAAACGCACTCGGGCTGCGGGAGAGGAGTCGGGCGCCGCGCGGAGGCGGGCACAGCCCTCGCACTTAGACGTTCCTGAGAGGGATCCCCGATGCCACCCACGAGGGCCTCGAACCCCAAGCCCTGGCTTATCCATTCAGCCACTGGGGCAGGCCAAGAAGGCGCCACAGAGCCTCCAGGCGCACGTGCCCAGACTGAGTGCCGGACAGCAGCACTAGCAGCACAACCTCCGCCAGGGCAAACGGAAGGCTGACTCAAGGGGACCGCTGTCAGGTTCACAGAAGTCTGTAGGGCAGTGAGCAACCCGCGGCGCTCGCCCAAAATGAAGCTGACCACGAAGGGACTCGAACCCTCAATCTTCTGATCCGAAGTCAGACGCCTTATCCATTAGGCCACGTGGTCAGGACGCCCAAGGAAGCGGGGGGACAGATCCAGGTGCCGCCCCTAGGAGGTGGTAGTGCAGTGACTCCTGCAGAAACTGTCGCAGTTGTCACAGCGAGAATCGCAGGCACCATGAATCCACAGGTGCGCCGGTAGCGCTGCGTCTCATTGTCACCAAATATATTTTCTAGCAGAAGCACTAACAGGAGAAGACCGCGTGGCCTAATGGATAAGGCATCTGACTTCGGATCAGAAGATTGAGGGTTCGAGTCCCTTCGTGGTCGTAAACGTTTTAAACCCGATGGTTTTAACCCTCATTTTAGGTAAGAAAGGCCTCTGGGCTCCTCTCAACCATTCTCCGTGAGTATGGTCAGCTTTTGCGTTTGGAATCTTCTGGGTTTGACGTCATGACGCAGCCCGCAGCGTCACAGTTTAAGAGGCATGTGACCGGGCGCCGTTTGCGTGAAGCCCCAGTGGCCTAATGGATAAGGCACTGGCCTCCTAAGCCAGGGATTGTGGGTTCGAGTCCCATCTGGGGTGATAGTCCTTTGGATTTTTAAAGGAATCAAATTAAATTTAATATTCTAACACATACGTTTAGTCTTTTTGTTAAAAAGGTACTTAGCTGTTTTTTCATTTCTGTGTTGCAACTCATTTTCCTTTTCTTCTTGAGGAGGCCCTACTAGGAGATGTGAGTCAGCGGGAGCGCAAGTGGCACCAGCACGAGCTCAATGTCAACGTCTCGGGAAAGCGCCCCTCAGACTGCAAGCCCCAGCAAACGTCGCTGAGCGAGGTGTCCAAGCCCGTCACCGTAAAACTCAACAGCGGGCAGCGCTCCAGCCCCAGGGGCAAGTCGGACGCCCGTCGCCAGCTGCGCCCCGACGCCCGGGCTGCGAGGACGCAGGCGTGCGCCAGGCACCGGCGGAGCGCGTCCCCGGGTCGGCCCGGCCGGCGGGAAAAGCCGGCCCGCTGCTCGAGCAGGGGACACCCGGCGCCGGGACGCCCCGGGCGGAGCCAGTGCAGGGCGAGCCCCAGGGGAAGGGGCAGGGAGGAAGAGGCCTGGAACCAGGGCCGGGTTGGGCTGAGAGGTGCGGAGAGCCCGCCGCGACCCCGGTCTCGCGCGCAGGGAGGGAGTCAGGGGTGGAGGCCGACCTCGCCGCCTTACCTCTGCCCGCGCGGGGCGGAGCGCGGCGGCCGCGGAGACCTGAGCAGCCGGGGCCCCGGCGCCGAGCGGGGGCGGCGCAGGGTCGGTGCCTGCGACACCCGGAGCCCCGGGAACACCCCGGCGACGCGGCTACGGGACGAGCGACGCGGGGGAGGGGAGGAAGGCGTTGGGGGCGGAGTAGGAGAGACCAATCTGCTGTCAGAAGGCCAAATGGCGTTTCCTGCACGTCGCTTCGGCCCAGGGGGTCAGGGAGCCGGCAGAGGTGGGCTTTGTTTTTTAAATCTAATCAGTTATACCTGGCAGCAGATGCATTTCACGTAGTGCACACATAGAGCACGACTTTTCATGTCTCTGGCTGTGCACAGAAGGTCTGCTTGTTATCTGAACAGGTGCGTTCCCTTTGTGAAAGGCCAGAGATGTGCCCTTTCCAGGTGGGACACTTCACACTACGTGCTCCCTTCACCAGGGCCATCCAGAATTCTTCCTGTTCTCTCCACCCCAAAGGGGTCACCAAAGTTCGGTGGATGCCAGTTTAAACTACCTGTGGCTTCCAAGCTTGCCATTTGATGACAGCAGCACGTCCTGTCCTTAACTAGGGTAGCCACTACTTCTTGGCTGAGCTTTGGATGTAGTTGCCCCCAAACCATCTTCCAGGCTGGGCGTGGTGTTGCACGCCTGTAATCCCAGGGGCTCTGGAGGAGGATCCAAAGTCCAAAGCCAGCCTCAGCAGTTTAGCAAAGTAATTAATTTAGCGAGACCCCGTTTCAAAATTAAAAAGAAAAAAAATGTTTTAAAGGAATAGGAATGTGGTTCCGTGGTTAAGCGTTCCTGGGTTCATCCCTGGTACATCATCATCACCTTCATCATCATCTCTTCTTCTTCCTCCTTCTCCTCCTCCTTTAAACCAGATAATTTCAAAGTAAAGAGGTGATGGTCTTGGTAGCACAGGTCTGTGGTCCCAGCTACCAAAGAACTTGAGGCTGGAGGATCACAAGTGTGAGCCAGCCTGGGCAACTAAGTGAGCACTCTTTCAAAGCATTAAAGCCAGTCTCTGTGGCATAGGCTTGTAATCTCAACCACTCCAGAGGCTGAGGCAGGAAAATCAAAGGTTCCAGACCAGCCTCAGCAACTTAGTGACAATCCCCAGTACCAAAACTAAATCAAATAAAAAGGACAATGAATCTCTGGCATTATGTATAATTATAATGCACCAAAAACAAACACAGGAAAAAACTGAAAACCAATAAAATAAATAAAAGGGGCTGTGGATGTAGCTCAGAGGTAGAGAGCCCATTTTGTCCAGCTCTAAATTATGGGGAGGAATTAGGCACATGAAAAGGAGAGGCTGCTGTGCAGAGGACAGCGAAAAGTGTCACAACCCTGTCACCTTCAGATGACTCCTTCAGGGGCTGAAACCCCATTTTCTCATAGTAAATGATGCTTCATAAGATAAGTAATGAGTTTTTTTGAGGGAGGGGGGTGCTGAATTAGGGAATGGAACCCAGCACCTAGCACAAGCTGGGCAAGCAGTGTGCCATTGAGCTATGGCAAATATTAAGGTTCTTCTAAAAGCAGAGCGTAGTGCTAGGCCCTGGGAAATACAAATCATAGTACTAGTACTCACAAGGAATGTTCTGGAACCCTCAAGTTCTTTCTAATATTCTAGCATGAGCAGGAATTACCAATGCCTGGTGTTATAGGGGGAGTGGGAGGTGTGATTACAACTTGCCATGGCTGGTGGACAACAATAGCGCAGAGGAGGCCCAAGAATCTTCGCTGGGCAGAGATGGTGGGGGGGGCCATACTTAGTCCTGTGACAGTAGGAAGCCAGTGGGTGGTTTTAAGTAGATAAGTTTTAAGTATTTTTCTATAATCAAAATAAAGTTTTTATTTAATGACATATCATTAATTTGTTCATTGTTTTCATATGAAATGTTTGTATTTTTATTTTACAAACATTCTGTAGTTACAAACTTGATTTCTCATTGATCCATGGTTTAGGAGAGAAAAGTTTAATTTCTAAGGGCCTGAGTTTTTAAAATTGTTTTGTTACTGTCTTTCATTCTGTGGCTATTAATTATTGATTTTCTGTAATATTTGCACTGGGATCAGTCAATATTACCTATAATTTGTGAGTTTTTTCAAAACTTGAGGCTTCTTCATCTCATATTATCAATTCCCATAGTTATCCTGTTTGAATGATATAAAGTCTAGTAAATGAGCTGTTAGATTCTCCCTTTTATAACAGTCTGCTGTAATCTCGTTTGTTTTGCAAATATGTCATGCTAAAATCATTACAACAGATGCTTCAGCAATTTCTTTTTAACTCTTTTCAGCTTTATATATATTTAATGCTATTTTTTCACTACTTAAAAGTTTCTAACAGTTTCTTTCAGTAAATGCCTTCCTTTATTATTGAATACCATTTGAAAAATTAAATTTGCTTTCCAGTTCTGGGGCTTTCCAGTTTCTGAACCCAGGAGTGCTCTACCAGCATACATACTATATCCTCATAGCTTTTATTATTATTATTATTATTATTATTATTATTATTATTATTATTTTATTTTATTTTATTTTGAGAAAGTGTCTCACATGTTTTTGTCTTGAATTCAACTTTGCTAGATAGTGATGACTCCACATTTTTGTCCCTCCTTTACAAACTGCTTATTGTAAAAGTATTCAGATATACACAAAAGTATAACAGTAAATGAATCTTCCCATCCCCATCACCCGGACTCATCCGTTATCAAGATTATCTTGCACTTATTCCCTTTTCTCTCTCTTTTCTGTTCTTTTTCTAGAGTATTTTAAAGCAAACCCCAGACATCATTTCAGTTCATCCCCACATATGCCAACATGGGTGTTCCCTTGGAAAACCACAGTGTGAGCATGTGTTTATTTTTGCAGTGCTGGAGATGGAACCCAGGGCCTTTTGCCTGCCTGGCAAACATTCTACTCCTCCACCACCACAATGCCGTTATTGTACTCACAAAAATAATTGTGATTCCTTGGTATGCTTTAATACCCAGGCCGTATTCAAATGGCTCCCATTGTCTCAAAGATACCTTCTAACAGTTAATTGGTACAAATGAGGGTCCAAGTGAGGCTGACAAGCATTTTGACGTTAGTCTTATCAATTCTTTTAACCTAATGCTGCCTTCCCTTCCAGACACCACCGACTTATGGAAAACAAAAGGGTTCCTACAGAATGCCTCCCATTTTAGATTTACTTTTTTGTTGTTGTTGTTCCAGGGGTGCTTAACCACTGAGCCAAATCCCGAGCCCCCCCCCCCCTTTATTCTGTGTTTTATTGAGAGACAGGGTTTCACTGAGTTGCTTAGGGCCTCGCTAAGTTGCTGAGGCTGACTTTGAACTCACCATCCTCCTGCCTCAGCCTCCTGAGCCACTGGGATTGCAGGCGTGCACCACTATGCCCAGCTCTCTTCATATCTTCATGGTGTTATTTATATGTTTCACTCTCAGCTATTTCTAAACTGGAAGTTAGTTTTAAAGACTTCAATAAATTCAAATGCAATTTTTGGCAAAAATTTTTTCAAACGATGCTGTGTATTTAACAGCTTGTGGGAAGGACACACAATGCCTGTTCATCTTTTTGGTCTTAAGAGGTGACAACCTGATCTGTCATTGCCAAGTTACCAATCAACCTTTCACATAGTGGTTTCATCCACTGATAGAATCTGCCTGAATAACCTATTACATTAGTGATTTAAAAATAATCTTCTTCCAATATAATCTTTTTCCACATTTATTGGCTAGAATACTTTGTAAAGAGCTTTTCTTCATCACTTTGAGCTATTTGTATACCCTGAAGTACAGTTGCTTGAGGAAGGATAAAGGCTTAATTTTTTTTTTTTTCCCTTCATTGCCAGTTTGTTTTTGGATATTGGGGATTGAACTCATGAGTACTCAACCATGAGCCACATCCCCAGCCCTATTTTGTATTTTACTTAGAAACAGGGTCTCACTGAGTTGCTTAGGGCCTGCTAAGTTGCTGAGACTGGCTTTGAACTTTCAACTCTCCTGTCTCAGCCTTCCCAATCGTTGGGATAACAGGCGTGCACCATTATGCCCAGCTTCAATGCCAGTTTTAGAGTAGTGAATCAGTTTCCCCAATAACTACTCAACCTACCCAAAGATGGACAGCTTGTACTTGCATTTTGGGTTGCTCTAACTCAAATTTTGCTTCCCATGGGGGTGGGGTGTCTTTGATGACTTTTTTTTTTTTTAATATTTTTTAGTTGTAGATGGACACAATATCTTTGTTTTTATTTTTATGTGGTGCTGGGGATTGAACCCAGTGCCTCACACATGCTAGGCAAGTGTTCTACCACTGAGCCACAACCTCAGCCCCGTCTTTGATGATTTTTCGTTGTCATAATTATGCATTTTTAACTATATAACTTTGCTATATATATAGTATATATGTGTGTGTGTATCTGTCTTTCTATCTATATAAACTTCCTCCCCTAGTGATTTGCAAAGCAAATCCTATTCTGCTAATGACTTATTTTTCAAATGTAAGATTAGGGGCCGGGAATATTGCTCAGTGGCAGAGCATGAGTATACCATATATGGGGTCTTAGGTTTGATCCCCAGCAACAAAAACATAAAAAATTAGGGGCTCGGGATATAGTGCAGTTGGTAGAGTGCTTGCCTTGCATGCACAAGGCCCCAGATCAATCCCCAGTACCAAAAAAAAAAAAAAAAAAATTAATGCATATGCAATGCAAAACTGTCAGCCTAAGAGGGCATAAGAGAAAAAATGAAAGTGACCCCTACCCACCCAGATGCCTTTGAGGGTCTGAACACTGTTGTTCACTGTTACAGGAAATCCTCCAAAGGGCTCCCTCAAAGCAGCTTACCTCCCTTCATGTTACAATACTCAACAGCACTCACATGGGTGTTTTCTCTAATTACCAAGTTTTTAACTATGCCCTAAATTTTTTCTTTCTTTAATTTCTCCACGTTTTCACTTGGCTGTTGTCTGAATCCCTAAATCTTCAGCTGGATGCCTGGGTGCCAGCTGAGCGATTCAAAGGCCTGGAGGCAGGGGTGTGACTATGACACAAGCAACTCTAGGTGGACTAGACCCTGCCCAAATACCCCTACAAATCA